TTTTCTCCTTAACTGAAAATAGATTTCAAATGTACCTTAGTATTATTTATCAGCAGTTCTTAAACTACATGATATTAAGCACAGGAACATTAAAGACATAATGATGCCACAAGGGTGCTTGGACAGTTCGATCCATGACTGTCACCTCCCTCCATGTGTGTGACTACTGGATAAGTAAGTAGGGTTTAGGCGGTCGGTAGTAACTACATGAAAATGTACAGCGATTTCATCATAGTACCTAACATTTATTGAACGTTTGCACGGGCTGTGCCTTTTATTAAGCCCTTTGTATGCATGATCTTCTTTTTTTTAAGATTTTATTTATTTATTTATTTATTTATTTATTTATTTATTTATTTATTTAGGAGAGACACACACACATAGGCAGAGGGAGGAGCAGACTCCCCAAGGGAGCCCGATATGGAACTCGATCCCAGGACCCAGGGATCACAACCTGAGCCAAAGGCTGAGCCATCCAGGCGTCCCGCATGCATGATACATCTCTGTATGAGAAATGTATGTCTCTAACAACTGCGAAAAATGTGCCTCTCTTACTATCTTTTTAGAGATGAGGAAACTGGAAATGTAATTGGCACAAGATTCCACAGTTATTCAAGCAATGGGCCAGAATTTGAACCCAAGTCATCTGAATCCAGATCTTGAGCTCCCACCTATAAAACTCTAAGGAGAGGGGAATCCCTGGTGGCTCAGCGGTTGAGCGCTTGCCTTTGGCCCAGGGAGTGATCCTAGAGTCCCAGGATCAAGTCCCACATCAGGCTTCCTGCAGGGAGCCTGCCCATCCCTCTGTGTCCCTCATAAATAAATAAAATATTAAAAAAAAAACTCTAAGGAGAAAGTTTAGGTCCCACTTCTTTCTCCTTCCTTTACACCTCTCGCCTCCTCCACCCAAAATATGTTTAAAAGGAGAATAAAGGAAATGACAGAAGTAAGTGCTTTTAATCAAAATCCAGTTAATATACTCACTGGATTAGCCGATGGTCCATTCCCTCACCAAAGCAAGACTGATGCAAGTTTCTCCCCCACATCTACATATGTACTTTTGGTTTATCAACTCTTGAGTAACCTACCAACTGCTGGTTCCAGTCACATCAGATGAGACAGTTACACAGTAGAGATTTTTTTCCAGGTCTGTTACATGACACTGTAAGATTTATAAGACGTCTTTTTAAAAGTGAAAAGAACTTGAAAAACAAAACAGCTCAGAAGAATAAAGGGGGAGAAATTTGGCTTTTAGGCCACATACCTAGTAAATCTAGTCAGTTCAAAAATACATCTCTAATACAAAGAAATCGGTGAACGACAACGTTGGAAAGAATTGAACTTACGATGAAGTACAAGCCCATTTCCTATGGAAAATGCAATAATTTATTTCCTTAGCACAGGCTTTCCAGCAAAGAATGCCACTGTACTGAATGCCTCGCTGTGACTGGCTGCAGACTTACCCAACAGAATATATACAAGCAAAGAGGAAACGCACTGTCTAGAAAAAATACACAATTTCCTTTTATTTCGTCTACTAAGTAGAACAACTTTTCTTTGGGGACCAAATCAGGGAGTTGTAACATTCACTACACAATATTTTCCATTCTCACAGCCAGTAAAAATTAGAAATCACGATAGTCAATGAGGATGGCCCAGTCAGTCCCAGAAAGCAAGTTCTTATGGTGGATGCCTCACACGGGATTCTTATTCAGCAAAAAGATCCAATGCCTGGAATCCATATCTCCCTCAAACAAGTAAGAACCATTGGAAAAAACAAACAACAACAACACATAGGTCCTTGGCTGAAACATGGGCTGTGTAAAGAGGAGTGGTGGGAAATAAACCCATAAAGATAGGTGAGTGTGAACTGTGGGGACCTTAAAGAGCTAGGGCAGTGTGTAATTAATTCAGTGCTAGCTGTGCAGCCACAGAGAGTTTCTAAGAGCAGTGACATGACTATAATCTACAGATGTGACTAGTGAACATTATAGGATACCCTAAAGGTAGAACAGATAAAAGGTAGAAAGAGCAGCTAAGAGGCAAGCCATGGAAACAATCTTAGTGTCCACCTACAGATGAGTGTTTAAGAAGATGTGGTCTGTGTGTGTGTCATATCGCTCAACCGTGAGAAAGAATATTGGATGGTATTGCTCAACCAAGAAAGAAGAAAATGCTGCCACTGGCTTGGATGGAACTTGAGGGCATCACACTAAGGGAAATAAGTTAGACAGAGAAAAACAAATACTATATAATATCACTTATAGGTGGAATCTAAAAAAACCCTAAACTTACAGAAACAGAGAGTGGAATGGTGGTTGCCAGGAGTGGAGGGTGGGGGAAGTAAGGAAATGTTGGTCAAAGGACACAAGCTCTCAGTTATAAAGTCTGGGGATCCAGCATGCTGATTATAGTTAACAACAGTGTGTAATGCTTGAAAGTTTGTTAAGAGAGATCTCAAATGGTCTCACCACACACACAAAAAGAAATGGTAATGATGTGAGGTGATGGGGGCGTTAACAAATGTTGCCACAGTAATCATCTTGGAATGCATAAGTACCAAACCAAGGGTTTGTATTCCCTTGGGCTACGCAATGTGATATGTCAGTTATCTCTCAATGAAGCTGGGAGACCAAAGAGAGGCCTCTCTTGATGGAAGCTGTTGTGCCCATTTACTCTCATTGTCTTTGCTGCTTACGATTTATTTCATTTTAGCAACATTAATCTCATGACTGCAAAGAACTTACCATTTTGTATTATGTTGCATTTTAGAAAGTTTATGCAGGTCTTTCTGAATGGTTAGCTCGGGGGGATAGGCTGTCCTCTCAAAGTTCTGAGGCTTAGACATTGGCAGACCTGGATCTGACACGCATGCCAATGCCAACTTAGTCAACAGCATGTTCACTAGCGTAGAATGCAGGCGGCACTTTTTGACTTAAGTAGCTTTATCTTCACTTGCCAGAACACTCCGGGAGCCTTGAGTGTATGTCAGAAGGCTGACTATCTACCCTGAGACCACCAAACTGGAAAGGCCACGTGGGGGGGGGGGTACTCCAGTGGACACTCCCCAATGCATCCAGACTTCCAGCCCATCTTGCAAAAGCTCCAGGTCCGTGAGTGGAGAAGCCTCCAGACTGTAGACTCCTAGTACTAGAATCACCTCCAGCTGCTTGAGTCCCCTCACTGAAGCCCCCAGACAACCAGAAGCAGGGACAAGCCTTTCTGCTGTGCTCTGTCCATATTCCTGACCCAAAGAATCCATGAGCATAATAAAAATGTTTTTTTTTTCTTTAAACAGTATTAAGTTTTGGGGTGGTTGATCAATCACTCAGAGAAAACTGGAACCATTTGTACAACAAGAAAGGTGATAAACCCACCAGTTGCAGAGCCCACATGATACTCAGATCTGGGTGACATATTTCAAAAGATTAAAAAAAAAAACATCCTCAGAAGAGAATAACAAGAATGTTCCTTTCGGGAGAAAAAAAAGTGAAAGGACTGAAGACATCCAAACTACAAAAGACAACAAATGATATGTGTTAATCGTCTTCAAATATTTGAAAGACTATCATGAGTAAAAAGTGAAAACAATTACTCTGAATACTCCCAGGAAGGAGGCTGGGGGACAGTGAGCAGAAGCTACAGGAAAGCAGATAGACGGATTTTCTGATGCTCAGAGCTTTCCAAGGAAGACCAGGCAGCCTTAATAGGTAGTGAGTTCCCTAACACTAAGGAACTCAAGCAGTCCAGATGATGACCACCTGGTTTGGAGAGAACCCATGTATTGACCAGAAGGTTGAATGAAGTGCTCCTACTTTAAGGTTACACTGCAATGCTGAGGTGCTTTTAATCTAAAGATCATCTCCATTTCCTTGTGCTAAGAAATCTAATCCCAACACATGTTGAGCAGAGGAAAAAAAAATACAAGATGAATAAATTAAATGAAAGGCAATACCACAGTATAAATAGAAAGCGATGTCGAATTCTAGAGGAGAAAGGAATGGCATACCAACAGGAAAATATAATCCAGCAGAGTAGCAAAGACACTTCAAAAAAGATGAAGCATACAGAATAAATGGGGGAGAGTGAAAAGGAGAGCCAAAGATCCCATCGCGGATGATACCTCGTGTAGAGTAGAGGAAGCCTTTATCTTTCTTGAGAAATGGCCTTATTCACTTTTAAGACTTTGCTCCTCCATCAGTGGGAAAGACAGATCAGAAGATCATAAGTGTACATGTAGCAGCAACGGGAGCAAAGTTGGAAGTGGAAAAATTAACGAAGCTCTTCAGTGATCACTGGCTTTCTGGCCTCAAGGAGCCACAGTGTGTGCCTATGGCATCAAGAGCACTTGCGTAGAAGCCAAGAAGCCACTATTCTGGCTAACGTCAGTACGCAGGAATGACCCACTAAGGGGAGCAAACAGATCTGGAAACTTAAAACCTGGTTTCCTAAAAAGCCAATATAAAAAGGAAAACACAAGCCACCTTGAAAATGAGATGTGTCCAAAGCAAAGCCATGAAGGAGACAAAACAAAACAAAACAAAAACAACAGAAAAAAAAGGAGAAGAAGAAGAAAAGAAAGAAAACGTTACAAAGTTATCTCATACACATTTCATCTGCGTTTTATCACCATTTGTAATCAACTTCCAAGGTTTCATAATACCCTTTAACCTTAGTCACTAACCCACTGAACAAGTCATCTCATTGTTATCCCCGCTTGAAGGAAGAGTGGAGACTCTTTTCATGTTGATAAGAGATAGAGGAGTCACTCCCAAGAAAGAAAAGCATTGTGAGTAAACTCCTGGAGCCTAATGGCAAAAGGGCGGTGATAAATCATTCCTTGCCTTAACCCTTTCAAGGACTCATTGAACCAGAAGTCCGAAATACATGTGATTGATCAAATAAAAGTAATTTTCACTTAAAATACAGAAAATTGTCACCACAAAAAAAAAAAAAAGAGAGAGAGAGAGAGAGCCCAGGAATTACTTCTGATTACTCACCCATTTCCTAGGTCTGCCTCTTGGCCGTTTTTCTCCAGTGGCTTCTGCTTTCTGCAAAATGAAAAAGGAAGTCATATTGCTTCCTACCTGACATTACTGATTAAGTGCTGCACCAAGGGACACATGCCAAGTGGGAGTGTCCTGGTCTACGACGAGGTATCGAGATTGCTTTAACAATCCCCTTCTCCACGAAGGCTCATCTTCTCCATGTTTGAGTAGATCCTCCTTCCAGGTTTTTCATTACATGAAGCACAGAGATATCTACCCATCTCTCACCCTCAAACACTCCCCTGGAATGCTCTCCTCCGAAATGCATGAAAATCCTTTTGATAAGCCATTTTGCTTTTAGTTCTAGCCACAATTTTAAAAAATACACCCACTTACCTGTAATTCTATAAAGTAGTGTTTTAGCAAAGGAGGGTCTCTTATATGATTTTCTTTCCACCTCGCAACGAAAGTCACGAAAATTAATATTATGTTGTTTTACAACGTACAAAGCGCTTTTATCCACATTGCTAATGAAATGGAGTCAAAAGTAAGTAAGAATACACAGGCTTCTATTTCAAAATACCAAACATTTGCACACTTCTGCATAGCTAACTTCCTAGGCCTTGCCCAAAACCATCACGTGTCAATCAGTTCATTGAAAGCAGAGGGGAAAAAAAAAGTTAGCAGAAATCATCATTGTTTGTCCCTGTGGTGAAAACTAGGGGTGCCAAAGATAATGATTAATAAAAATGTATATTATTATCAAGAAGCTCCCACTCAACACAGGCATGACATGAATATATTTTTAACCACCTTGAACGTTTATTTTGTTTCATAGAAGATTTCTCTGGTATCAAAGTTGGTTTTTGCCCTTTGAATCAAATTTTAACATAATCCATAAAGTAATTTCCCTATGTTTACGGACCCTACTCCACTCCCCAAATACACCAAAACACACATACACACACACGACACACATCCTTCTATAAAAACATATGTTTACACTTTTCAGGGTAAAGAAAAGTTAGTAGTGCTCTTGCATATATGAGAATCGTCCCAAGGCTACATAAACACAAAAATACAAGTAACCTGAGCCAGGATAACTTGTTTTGCATTTTGCTTTTGTTACCTAAGCTAGCAGCCAATAGGTACTTGGTACGGTGATACTAAAATTACCTGTTATGACTGTCTACACTGCCAAGTAGACTCTCCTCTTTCTCTCTTCAATCTGTCTTATAAAAATAGATGGAAATAGATGATAGGTAGATATATAATAGATAGATAGATAGATAGATAGATAGATAGATAGATAGATAGATAGACAGACACAAAATAAGCCACAAGATTTCCACAAACAGTACCTTCCTGACCTGGCATTACTCTCCCAACGGGTCCTAGGAATTTGCCAAAAATCCGTATAACTGTAATACTGTTAGGTCACATTTCTTGAGCACATGTGTTAATCTTTAATCTTTACAACAACCTTATAAGGTAGGTATTATTATTTCTCTCATTTTGCAGATGAGCGACTGAGTCTTACATAGTTGAGGAAGGGCACACCCAAAGGCGGTAAATGGCTCACCTGGGATTTGAACCCATTTCTGTTGGCCTCTAAAGACTGGGTTCCTCCCCTCCTAACAACAGTACCCCCCCCCTTAGCCTACATACATGCGCTACCTTACAGAGATATTTGAGTCAACTAAAATTGGTCGCTGACTCAGCTCAGTCCCCCAACAGAAGGAAACCGGGTAGCTTTTAGGAGGTCTGTGTAACCGTCAGCTTTGGGCACAGAGAATGGCTCCACAAAGAATCACTTACTGTCAGGGGTTAGTGGCACTGTCCTCCCTTGAGCTACAAGGGCGTGCATGAGGTTAAGGAAAGCCAGGGGTGCCCAGGGAACCACAGCCGCCTCCTGAGTGTTGTCTCCCCGAGAGGGACTTGCCTTCAGAGGAACACAGACTCTACTTTGGAAAGATTCAAACCCCTGCCCCGACTCTGGGCAGGTCCCTGAAAACCTTAATCCGGTTTCACGTGTGAAAAGGAGATAACGCCTCCCGGGAAGAGCCAAGGGCCCACCCTACAGGAGGTGCTGGCTACAAATTCCTTGACTCCCAACAAGATGGAAGTCTTCAAGGGAAGGTTTTCCTTCAAGTTAGTCCAATCTCAAAGAAGGATCAGTCAATGCAAATATTCTACTACACACCCATCTGTCACCTTTAGGATGAAGCTTTCAAGAGACCCCCTGCTAGTACATAGGGAATTCCAGGAGTACAAAATTCCCCAATACAGAGGCAGTGTCTGATTTAATCTTTGGGATCAACGGGGAGACTGCACGGTTTACCCTGCAGTACATGACACAAACATGGAAGACAGAAGTCCCTTAGTGGGCACAGGGATGGTGGGTGGGTTTAAGAGGAGGAGGCTATCAACCCTGGAGGCCAGCAGAGCCACACCAGGCTCTCTCCGCACAGTTGTCCTGTTTCAGGTGTGCTCTGGGCGTATCTAAAATCTGCTGAAGAGGAGGTTGTTTTCTAAAAGGGTTTCACTGCATTTCCAAGTCAGAGAAAGCAAATCTCTCAGAGGGAGAGAAAGCCCTGCAAATAAGAGGACTTGAAAATGAGCATCGCGCTCTTGAAAATGAGCATCGCGCTTACAAAAAGCCTATTCAAAAATAAAATTCGCACCATTAACTAAAGGGCAAAATATCACAATTATCACTTGGACTTGTTAAAAGCAAACTTGCTCCTTGGTCTTCAGGCCAGTGTGACATGTAAACTGAAACCCTCTTCTGAGTCCACATCTACAAGAAACACATTAGCTGTGCTGTGTGGCGTCGATCTGGGAGGTTTTCATTGTTCTTTAAAGCCCACATTATTTAATCATTCTGATCAAACTTCACAAAGGCTGCAAAAGAAGTTAGGATTTTAGTTTGTAAACCAGCAGAGATCCAGGGTTTTTACACAGAGGAAAACACTGGCTTTAACTTTTTTTCCCCCTGTGTTTAATGCTCTTCGGAATATTATTTTTCAATAGAAGACAAACAAAACATTTCAGAGGCTTGTTTTGTTTTTAATACATCAACATATACAATACTGTGGGGTTATATATTTGGTTTTCCTTCACCAGAGTGGAATGTGGTTCTATACTACAAACCCGTGTAAAATTGAGACAGTAACTTGTTCTAAGTATTTACAACTTATGGGGGTGGCAGGGTGAGGGGTGGGGGAAAGAGGCTGGGAATTGTGCATTTGTAAGAACTGAAATTTCAGACTATAGACACACGATTATACGAATATTTGCAACTACCACATATCTTGTTAGAAGTGTTATTTATTCCTTGCTTTTCATATTTTTGCCTCTTTTTAAAAAAAAGTTTCGATTCAGAACTGTATATATAGTTTTATGATATGCTTAGAAGCAAGTTCACGAGGGTTGGGAAGAATGTTAAGTGGGAAATGTAATTTTTTCCCCTTTTTTTCTAAGAAGTCTGGTCCCCCAGGCTCTCAGATGTACTCCACATTAAAAAGAAAAATTAATTGAAAAAGGAAATCCACCTAACAAATAGAACTCTTAAGCTTGGAAACAGTGCTTACATCAGGGCCTGTTACGTAAGATGTGCTCACACATTTATTGGATGAAGAAGGAAGGAAAGAGAGAAACACTGGTGTTTACAGCACGTGTGTCTTATTTCCCTCTTGCCATCAGAATTCTGCAGCTTGGCAGGAACTTCAGAAAGCAATTCATCTAGACCCTTCATTGAACAAATAAGAAAACTGGATGTGTTCTGACCTCCAAAGACATGGCCCTGTGGGTTCTGGGGGCCAGAAGTCTGGGGGTATTGGCTGCAGGAAGTACCCATTTCCAATCTCTTTATAAGCTTGTAGAGAACTTCTCTCCAAAGGGTTTCCTGACACCTGACTTCTAACCTGCATTTCACATTCCTGGAGATAACATAAACTACGCTGTCACAATAAGAAGACTTGTATATGCATTTTACAACATATCCAACAGCACATAGCAATAGAAAGATCAGAAGCTTTAGAGTGAGATCTGAATTCAGGCCCAGGTGCCACCGTTTTCTAGAGGTGAACGTTAGACACGTCACAGTTTACATCTTGGGATCAGTTTTCTCACTGGTGAAATGAAGACCATTCTATCTATCTACATCAGAGGATGAAGGAGCTAATATTTATGTAAAGTGCCAGACAAAAGATCCAGCACGTGTAGGTGCTCAACGTAATTCTTTTCTCTCCCTCCATATTTTAAAATGTTACCCTTAAAAAGAATACCTCCCGGGGGCAGCCCAGGTGGCTCAGCAGTTTAGCACCGCCTTCAGCCCAGGGCCTGATCCTGGAGACCCCGGATCAAGTCCCACATCGGGCTCCCTGCATGGAGCCTGCTTCTCCCTCTGCCTGTGCCTCTGCCTCTCTCTCTCTGTGTCTCTCATGAATAAATAAATAAAATCTTAAAAAAATAAAATCACTATAGATGTGTTAAAGCTTGGAAGTACCTTTAAAAAAAAAAGAATACCTCCCAATTCTGAGTGATTTTTCTGAGCATTATCTTACTTATATAGGACAGCTATTACTTGCCCCATTTCACAAAATGTGAGATTAAGCCAACTGCCCACGTTCACAAGCAGTGAAACTGAGGCCCAATGTGATTTCAAGGCCAATAAAGGGTCTGTTCTTCTGGGAGAGATTTCATATAAAATAAAAGAGCCATGGGCAAATTTAAAAAAGAAAAAAAAAAAGAAAAGAAAAGAAAAACTTCTAGGGTGAAAATCAAATGAGTCGTTGAAAGTAAAACATTTCTAAGCCTCCTGTAAGGACATGGACAATTGCTGAGAATGGAAACCAGGAGAATTATCCAATGCTGACTTTTGGGTCAAATTTGGATAGCTATTAAATTTTGTTACTTTAAATGCTCTCATCACATTTTATATGTACTGTGATAACGCTTGAAAGCACAAACTCTCTCACCCCAAATCAATCAGCGCCTCTGCACACAGATCAAAAATAATCAAAATAATAATAACCTAAAAAAAAGGCTATAAAAACATT